AAAAAAATAAATAAATTATAAAATAAAAAATGAATAGCTTTGGTAAGGATTAAAAAGGAGAGAAAAAGAATTTGGCTCTGGAGTAGAAGATCAGCACACCTTTGAGACTGGCAGGGGAAAGTCAGTGTCCAGCTTGAGATCATTATAGAAGGTCACACTGGGAGGTGGAAGTTTATGCTGCTGAATGGATTGGGTATTCTCTTTGATGGAGAAAGGGAAATAAATGCCTTTCTAAGAATGAGGGGAGGGTAAATCTTTGAAGCCTTGAGGAGAGTAACAAAGCTACCAACAGTTTGGGGGGACAAAAAAGAAAATATAGCTACCTCTAACTCCAACAAGGAAGTGTTTGAAAGCAGTTTTGAATATCCAATAAAGTATAGAAAACATAAACAGACAAGGGGGAAAATTGTATGATTAGGAGATTTTTTTTTTTTATTCTTTAGAATTTAACTGCCAGGGTAAAAGAAGAATAGAAGTAGATTTTTAGAGATTTTCCAGGGTTAGGCTTTTCCAGGTAGGATAGTCAAAGGCAGGGTGTCAGTGTGAGCTATTAAAAGAATATTTAAAATGATCAAGGGTGAAGCCCAGGTGAGTGGGAAAGGAAGGAGGCCAAGGGGTAATAAATGGAATGGAATACTACAGGGGCCCCCTACATGACAAGAGGATTTTTTGAAGTCACACAAAAAGTCCCCTAGATTTATTCATTCACACTTCTCAAATATGCATTACATGATGACTCTCATAACACAAATTGCAAGGCCATCATGGCCTTCGTCCACCCTGATGTGCTTTCCATGGGTGCCTCCAGCCCCCACTGTTCTCAAGCCAGGCTGGGCTTTTCTTGTTCTCCCTTCCCTCTGCCAGGCATCTGCCTCAGTGAATTTACTTTTACTATTGCTTCTACCACAATTGGGTTCCTCCAGCTACTCTCACATTCTTTTTATTTCACAAGTCAAATGTTGACTTGCCAGAATGGCCTTCCCTGGCTGTCCTATCTAGAATATTCTCCTACTCTCCTTCTTCTTCTGTAGCACACTTATCAGCACTTGGCACAGGACCTGCTATTTCTTTTCTTGCTTGTTGTCTTCCTCCAACGTTAGAATGTGAGCACCACGAAGCCAGGAAATTTGTTTTCTGAGGTACAGCAACATCCAGAAAAATGTTTGGTCTATCATATGCGCTTGACATTTGTTAGGATAAAAGTCTAACCACCAAGGGAAGGCCTTATAATATTTAGGTTCGCAATGTCTGACTCGCTTCTTATGGGGATGGATGTTCTGGGCTCTCATCTGGGGAGGCAGGGACTTTGACTGCAGACTTGAGAATTTGGCTGAATGTTGTTTGGAATAGACACATGGGAGCAAGAACAATCACAGAGCTGTTACAATGAGGACTAAATCATGCTGAGGGACAGCCATAGTGGGGCCCATAAACTGAAGCTTCTCAGGCCTTGGGTCTAAGAAGCACACTTGAGATCAGTTAGTTGTTAGAGGACTGGTTATTCCAGTAACAGTGGCCTCATCTCTATGTATGAGGGATAGAAAAAAAAAAAACCATACAGTTAAAAATGCATTTGAAATTTTAATGTTTTGGCAAGAGATGTGTGATTCTGTCTTAGCAATCGTGCTACAGAGGCTTCAGTTGATCATCAATACAGTTAATATGAGACCACAGTCCAGACCTAGCATGTCCAATGTGATAGAAAGGAAGAGTACAAACAATACAGACAATATTTCACACAGTTTTGCTTTGGCTCAGGATTGTTGCCTTTTCAACAAGCAATAAAACAGGTTGGTATCCCAGGTGATATGATAGATGTGGAAAGTTATAGAAAAGATTTTTCCAGTCAAACCTATGAATAAAGAGAAAATATTTGATTATCAATAAAATTTGTATTTCAGGATAGACATGTATACATCTATGTATGCATAATACATATAAACATGCAAACATACATCCTGGCTTTGCAGAAATAAAATTTTATATATTTATTACTAATTAATATCCTAGTGCCAACATAATAGGCTGTGAGCATGTATTTGTTGTGCATATAACTAAAGGATTGATAGATAATAGCCTGATTCTGCAATGGTTCTATTTAATGCCTCCATTAAATGAGAAATACTTATACCTTTGAGCACATTGGAAGGAATATTTTAATTTCCAAGTCGTTTATTGGGCATAAAATATATTCCTACTTCTTAAATGATAATTTCTTGATTTAATTTGAATGTACATTTGTCAAACACCTGTATCAAGCAAAATGTCTTTTGAAAATTTAAATGTCTTTAAAAACAACTCCTTCACAATTCATTCTGTTAGATGTCTTTATGTTTTATTTTGTTTTGATTTATTCGTGAATTATAAAAAATATTTTCCTCAATTCAATATTTCTCAATTATAAAAATGTATTTAAAACTCTGTGGACTCTGCCATTCATTCTGAATGCATTATGAATAGATGTCTTTTTTTTTAAAGATTTGTTTATTTTAGAGATAGCGTGAGGTGAGGAGCAGAGGGTGAGAATCTTCAAGTAGACTCCCCACTTAGCATAGAGCCCAGTGTAGGCTCAATCTTGCAACCCATGAGATCAGGACCTGAGTTGAAACCAAGAGTTGGACACTTAACCGACAGAGTCACCCAGATGTCCCTAGATGTCTTTATTTTAGATTTATTCTGTAAATATTCTATAAATTCCATTTACTTCCACCTTAGATGTCCTCTGACATTTCTTGCTTTGCCTAAGTTTCCTAAAGGTCATATCAATTGACCTTCCCATATTATACCCTCTTTGTGCTCGTAATTCTAAATTAACACTTAGTAAACTTCTTGATAAATTTCTTTGTCCTTCTAAAGAGGAAGTTGAGGATATGTGAGTCAGTAACTCATTTCTATCAAGGGCCTCAGTTAGTGGATTCATGATAAGCAATTGCAAAATACAGAACTAAGGAATGAGAGCAAAGTGAATGTTCCTATTCAGAAAATACAGCCCAGCTTTTATCCACATCAGTGATATTATTTTTCTCACATAGCATTATTTGGAAAAATTGTCTGATTCTTTTCCAATATTGGGAAAACCAAACTGGAGAAGAGAACCAAGCTGTGGACCAGTGCCATCACAGGTAAAGACCACCTGTCAGCTTCATCTCCAGCTCGCATGTGTGTGCGGTATAGCCTCCGTAGTGGAGTGTTTCAGAGGAAGGGCCCTAGGGCTTGACTCCTGGGTGGAATCCTGCCTCTTCCACTTATTACATGCACTGTGATCACGGGTGATTAATTTAGCCTCCCTGTGCATGTTGGCACCACCTACACATTGGCCATTAATGTTAACAACCTCACACGTGTATGTGAGCATGAACCTAGTTAATATTGACAGAGGGTTTAGAACTATGGCTGACACATGTTAATACTCAGTAAATACCAGCAATTACTCTTGGATTTGCTGTTGCATATTTTGTCATGTTAGCCCTTTTTAACTACTTATTATTTTACCATACATATATTTAGCTTTTGACCAGCGATTTAATTTTAAGGTGTAAATTAAGACAGTTGATCCTAACAGTTCTCATCCGAGGAAAATTTTCTCTTTCTGTTTTTGAATCTATATGAGATTTTGGATGCTAGGTAAACTTACTACAGATATTCCACTTCTTCAATTTTCAGACTGTTTGTGTAAAACAAATTAATATGATCCATAACTTCTCCTCTCAAGGAATTGCTGCAGAAATCAAGTAAAATATATATGCCAGTGTTTAGGAAGTTAAAATTCAATATAACTGCATTTCTTTATCACTATTGTTATGATCTTATATTGCTATATTTAACTACATGTTTTTATTTTAATTACTGACTTTGAGATTTTACTTAAATTTGATTTAATTTCTATGTGAGAATTTGGGATTTTTTTTGGTATCTTTTTTTTTTTTAACAAAAGGCCAGTGTACTTTACTTATTCAAAATATCAAACATACCAAAGTGGGAATAAATGGGTAGGTAATTTCCTTAAGGCGATTCCAAGGGTTTGTAACTATCTGCTGTGGATGAACAGCCTGGAAATATTGGGGGAAGGTGAACTTCTGGTGAAACTGGTGGATTTGGACCTACAGAGAAATAAAATTATTAATCACCCCTCACGTAATTTCCTCCAGGGTTTAAAAGAGAGATAGAGCGATATGGATTATAACTTCACCATTTAGATAATTTCTAAATTATTCTAAGTAGACCTGGAAAAAGCAGAGTGAAATTATACAGAAATCACTATAAACAATATCACATTATAGAGTGAACTACAAAACTGAAGAAATCTTCTAATTAATTCAGTCACTCTGGAAAAAATATCTAAGAGAAAAAAGAAAATTTATATGTAATAAAGTAGAAGAAGAATTTTCAAGAAGAACCAAAGTGAGTATATAAGTTTATAATTTCTTTTTCCATTTCTGGTCTTTAGAGTCAAATAAGCTCACGACAATTTCTCATGATTTTATTCACTGGAATCTAGGATTCTGAGGCAGTTGCTTAATCTCTCTGAGCATCACTTACACTGCTGGATTATCCAAATTAATATAAAGAGAACATTCTGCATAGTGCCAGGCACATATTTTCTATCCATAGAATGTTCTCTACTTCCAAATCCTTTCTTTAAGCCTGTTTCATAAGCCTTATCTTGGACTATTGTATGGGATAAAGATATAATTAAAATAACAATGTCCCAGAGAATAATTTACAGTTCTTATGAATGCAAACCTATTTTCTTAATTACCAGGGACAAAGTATTGAGTGGATCCATGGCTGTAATATATGATTCATATGGTGGAAGAATGCTAAAGTCTAAATAGCTGTGAGAACTTACTAAAATCAGATGGGTTTTCAGTGGGAGCATTTAAGTAAATACAGCTTCTGTTGTAAAATCTTTAGAAGACATTTTTACATTGTATAGGATGATGATTAGAATAATACCTAATACTCCTAGTACATCTATTGTATCCCTGTCATTGTGTATATAGTTTGCATATATTACCTGAAATGATCTTCACAAAAGCCCTCAGTCAACAGTTTATTTCTATGTTTATATTTCAGTTGATGGTACATTGGCTGACTGAGATTAAGTACTTAATAACTATTACACACATAAAAAGTGGTGGAGCTGATGTTGGAAGATAAATTTCCTGATTCCAAAGCCTGTGTCCTTTCACTGAGATACACATGTCTCCAGCCACAATACTGGTCTAAGAACTCCTGTGGTAAGAAAATAGTCTCTATGGGACTTTATTTTTGAGGCATAAGGTCATGTTATTCTTTTTCTAATTTTTATTTTAATTCAATTAATTAATATATAATGTGTTATTGGTTTCAGAGGTACAGGTCTGTGATTCATCAGTCTTATATAACACCCAGTGCCCATTACATTACATGCCCTCCTTAAGGTCCATCACCCCGTTACCCCATCCCTCCACCTCTCTCCCCTCCAGCAACCCTTAATTTGTTTCCTTTGATTAAGAGTCTCTTATGGATTGTTTCCCTCTCTGGTCAGGTCATGTTATTCCATCAAGGAGAAGGCGAAGCATAGTTCCAAAGTAGGTCATTTGAAAAAAACAAAACACATTTTTGAGGTTTGCAACTGTTTCAAAATCAATCAGATAATTGCTCAAAATCATTTTTCTTAAAAGATCAATTCATATCTATTTGCAAAAAAGTTACTTCATATCCACCATGGATACAGAACTATGTGACAGAAATATGATTTATTTTGAATGTGATTTAAAGCATTTATTTGGAATTAAATTATACTGATAATTTGGGGGAGGCCAAAGTGGTTGTTCCTTTATTTAAAGTATAAGTTTATTTGAAAGTTACCAGTTGTTTCAGGTAATTCTTTTCTTCATCACTCATCTCGACTTCCTGTTAAGAACCAAAAGCAACTGTTATAAAAGTACAAAAGAAATCACTACTGGGTAATATTACATGTATTTCATTTCAATAAAAATTACTTACCTCGGGGCCTACTTCAGTGGATTCCTTAGGGAGAGAAAACACAAATCAGCTCTACTTGGATGACACAACAGTAATTGCTCTAACTAACTATAGTAGAGGAGCTAGGGCTAAGGGAACAATTCAGAGCCAACCCATTGCTTTTGAGAAATACAGTCCTAATTACTGATGGAGGATTTAACCATGAAACGCTCAACACTAAAACTTTCATTTTGAGAGCACACTCCGTGTTAACGTAACTAACACGTTGCTGAGGGTATGTTTCCTTACAGTCTCCTCTATGTCCGTGCAAACAGTGAAGAAGGAGCATGGAGAGTGGGCAGATGACTCGGTGAGCACAGGGGTCTGGTGAGGTGTGAGGTAAGGGAAGCCTGCATGTCATTTCTGGAGGTGGCACAGCCTCTCAGTGTGAGACTGAGACATGAGGCGACAGCGATGATTCGTAGGGCTCTGATGAGGAAGACTTTGGTCTGTGCCACAGGCCACAAGACATCAGGCCACAATCCATGCTTCACCACCTCCCAGCACCTTCCCAGTGTGCTCGCCCACCCAGCTCTTCTGTCACAAGAGGTAGTTCTTTTACCACTCACCCACAGCTTATCTGACCCACCACGCTACTCAACCCTTAACTCATGTTGGGAGAGGAAAACCCCGTGAAAACAATTTCCAGGCTCTTTTTCACATATGGGGCTGTTTTTTATTTTTATTTTTATATTTTTTTAAGATTTTATTTATTTATTTGACAGAGAGAGACAGAGGGAGAGAGGGAACACAAGCGGGG